TTAAAAATTAATGAATATCAAGTCTAGCAGATGCTGTACAAATGATTTAATGATTAAAATTTTTATATTATATTTAAAAAGTCTTATAAATAATGTAAAATTTATCATTAGATATATTATAAATTATTGATGGTTGATTTATAATTTTTAATTTAATAAAATTGATAAATTAATTCATTAATAGAATTATAATAATTAAATTAGACTTTTTATAATGATTTTAGATTAAACAAATATTCTATAACAGTTAAAAAAATTTAAAATATTTAGTGATCAATTATAAAGAAGACTAACAAAATATATTTGTCAAGAAAAAAATCATTTAGGGTTGAATTTAGAGTGGGATTTGCAAAGTGAAACCTTCTAGAAGATACCCAACTCTTGACGTATATCACTGTTTTCCCTTCAATCCGTAAAGAAGATTCTCTGTTTCGTCCAATATTTTATAATTAAACTACCACTTTAATAATTAATAATTAATAATTGTAACACCTAAAATTTTTATTTTTTATTTTTTTTATTATTAGAATTATTATAATTTATTTTTATTTTAAATTATTTATTTATTTATTTAAGTAATAATATAAATATTTTAATTTAGTTTAATTTAATTTAATGAAAAATAAAAAAAAAACATAATAATAATAATTGGTAAAATTATTTTTGGGGTTTAATTGAAAACAATTTTGAGAAAAATGGGTGAAATTCGGATTATGGGAGTGTTTTTGAAAAGAAAATCGGAAACCAGATGTCAAAACGTAATTTAAAAAAATTACGCCACGTCAGCAGCTCTGGTCAACCAGAACATGCCACGTGGCAGAGACGCTGACACGGCAAGACCATGCGGAACAGGCCACGTGGGCAATCTGCGTGTGCGTGATCGGACGACTGAGATCCATTCCCGCGCGCACAGACGGTCCAGATCAAACGCGTGTACGGACGGCCCAGATTGTACACGTGCGGACGACCCAGATTGAATCACACACGAACGATGCAGATCGCATCGCGATGGACGATCCAGATTCATTTCCAATTTAATTGCAATCGAACGGTCCAAATTAAATCGTGATGGACGGCTCAGATTAAAAAGGGAGGGTTATAAATAATCTCATCCACACCCAACCCCAAACTCTAGTCGCCAGAGCCCTCGCCGGAGAAGACAGTCCAGCCACCGAAGGAACCGACCGCCGCCACCCGCCGCCGCACCGGGGCACTTTCCGGCCGCCAAACGAGGTAAAATTTCTCTCCTTAGCTCGGTTTTTGATGCTGAACTCACCTATGACCAAATCGGAGCCAAACCACCGGCCAATTGGCCAGAAAACACCACTGAAGCCCAGCGGCGCCGCCGCAAGTTTCTTCAATTTTTACCTCCGATGAGGCTCTTCTCGATTCCCGTTCGATGTAATTTTTACACCACTGTGACCACCATCCTTTCCTCTACAGGTTGACAAGAGCAAAACACCAAACCGCGACTCGCGCCAGAGAAGCCGCCGCACCCGAGAGCTCCGCCGTCGGTAAGTCTCGATTTTCTGGATTTTTTGGCCCACCGAGGGCCCTATGAGTGTTTTATCATAGGAACCAATGCAAATTTGGCTGAATTCGGTAAAAAAGGCCAAAAACAGCCAACCCGAGGTGGATCGCCGTCGTGCCGGAATTTCAAAATTGGCCGAATAGGCCCTGCGTCTGATTTGGGGTTTTTTGGGGACATATGCAGGTACCATAAGTGTGTTTCAGTTTCTGGAAAAAAATTCAGAGAATCTAGGAACTGCCCATAGGCGCAGTGAGAACCCGATTTCAGACTCCGAAACTAGTAAGGATCCCTCACCATATTTTCTATCACGGTATTAAAGCTTAATAAATGATAAAACGGTATTTTATGAATTAATAGATATTATAATTAATTAAGATTGCTAATGGGTTCCGAACCTGATGTATTTGTCGGTCTGTTCCTGTTTGATGTATTTTACAGTCTAAATGCAGTATAGTATTTGATTGTTTATTCTGTGATTTCGTATGAATGAATCACTGTTTAATCTATTATGGTTTGAATTATTGTGAATTCGATGTTGTGTTGCTTTATTTGGCGTGCGTTACTAGTTTACGTATTCATGTTGATTGGGTAATTGAGACTAAGAAAAATAAAAAAGGTATATGAATTTATAAATAGATAAGTTGACAGTCTCACTATATATCCTGGGAGATGGTGGACGGACCGGGTCCATAGGAAACCCTATCGGGACGCAGTCTCTCATATCAGACGAGTATGGAGACTTTAA